AAATAATTCTTAAATAGAAAAACTAACAAGATAGTAAAAAATTTGGAAAAAATAATCTAGGTGAAGGCTAAAAATCAGAAATTAAGCACAATATTCAAAATGGATTTCATCTTGAGTAAGAATGTCTCTGACCTGAAAGCTATAGCATTGATGCCATTAAAAATAACATTAACAAAAGTTAAAGCCTGGTGTCTACCTCAGATATAACCATCCATGTACATCTCCTTCATAATCTGGTACCAAAAAACTACATCCTCAATGTAAAGGTGAAATGCAAAACATCAAGAATAAGGGACACTATAAATAGACCCAAAGAGAATTTAGATTGTGGAACTAAACATATGAATTATAAAATACTGTGCATAGCATCTGTAAGGAAATAAAAATCAAACCTCGAAATAAAATACTAGGGAATAAGAAACTAAAACAGCAGCAGAACCAAATAAAATTTCCAGGAACTAAAAAATTCTAGGGGTGTGGCTCAGTGGTACAGCACTTTTCTGACATACGCAAAGAGGCCTGGCATTCAATCTCCAGCACAACAAAAAATGATAAATTAAAAATCAAGTAACTGAATTTAACATCTCAGTGGATGAGTTCAGTAATAGATTGGAAATAAGAAAGAGTTAATGAAGGAATTTCCCAGAATGTAGTATGGAAAAGAAGAAACAGGAATACAGAATAAAGAGAAAATGTCCATTGAATTAGTAAGGAAGGAAGAGCTAGTGGGGCAGAAGAAATATATGGAAAACAGCTAAAGAATTTTAAGGAACTATTGAAAGAATCTAATCTACACCCAAAAAGTTTAATAAATATATACCAAACAAACTGTACAAAAACTAATGACAGTTTGACACACCATAATAAAAATGCAAAAAACCAGAGACGGAGGCAGGAGGATTACAAGTCTGATCCCGGCCTGGGCAGTCTAGCAGTACTCTGTCCCAAAATTTTTAAAAATGTAAAAAATGCCAACAGGGTGTAGCTCAGTGTAAAGGGCCTGGGCTCAATTCCAGTACTACTTTTTGAAAAATACATAAAACCAAAAACAATGATAAAACAACCTTAAAAAATTCTACAGGATAGAAAAATCAACACAGGGCTGGTGAGATGGCTCAGTGGTCTAAAGCACCTACTTAGAACAAGCTAAGCTAAACAAAGCACAGGGACCGCGGTTCAATCCCCCAGCACCACATGCCAGCCAGCCCCGCCCCCTGGTGGGCTGAGCTGGCCACACACACACAAAATAATTAAATAAATAAATATTTTAAAAAATATTTAAAAAAAAAAAAAAAGAAAAATCAACACATATGAACCAATAGTGTGTTTTTATTTTTTTATTTTTTTGAGATAGGGTCTGGCTATGCAGTTAGAGCTGGTCATGAGCTCACTTTTTGACCAAGCTGGCCTTGAACTCACAACTATCCTCCCGCCTAAGTCTCCTGAGGGCTGGGACTATAGGAGTGTGCCACCATACCTGGTACTACATAGTATTTTATTATGTATTTGATGCAGGGTCTCACTACACAGCTTGGACTCAGAGCGATCCTACTTTCAGCCTCCCCAGCACTGGTATTACAAGCATGTGCCACCACACCAGGTCTAGTTGGCTAGCTCAATGCGCCGAGGGAGGGGCCAGCGCTGCAAGTGGACCCTGGGATCAAACCCCTGTCCCTGTTCTTGCCTAAGCTTAGTCCACTGAGCTATCTCAATAGTGTTCTTGTACACCAACAATGAACCCAGAGAGAAAGAAATCAGGCCAACAATTCCATTCACAAAATCTTCTAAAAATACTTCAAAAAAAAAAAAATATTTAAGAATCAATCTCAAGAAAAGATCTCTGTAATGAAAATTAGAGAATTCTGGGGCTGGCAAGACAGCTCAGTGGACTACAACGCCTGCTTAGGCAAGCTTAGGCAAGCACAGGGACTGCCGTTCAATCCCCATTTCCAGTTCCTGGAAATTTTCTTTGATTCTGCTGCTGTTTTAGTTTCTTATTCACGCTGAGCAGGCTACTGAGTCCAGGTATAGTGGCACACACCTGTAATCGCAGCACTGGGGAGGCTGAAAACAGGAGGATCACTATGAGTCCAAGCTGCGTAGTGAGACCCTGTAACAATCAAACAGATATTCTGAGGAAATTGAAAAGGGCATTAGAAAATGGAAAGGCACCTCTCTATCTTTTTTTTTTTTTTTTTTTTTTTTTGTATTTTAGGACAGGGTGTCCAGGGTGTACAGGGCCTCACTGCGTAGACTGGACTCAGAGTGATCCTCCTGGTTACAGTCTCCCAAGTGCTGGGAATACAGACACATACCACCACGCCCAGTCTCAATTACCCTCCCACCACACCCTGAGGGCAGGGCAAGCACACAGGACTCTTGTTCTTGAATAGGAAGAACCAATATCATGAAAATATCACCAAAAACCACCTTTAGATTTAAGGGGGGCCTGCTCATTAGCTCAATTGTTTAAGTGCCTGTTTAAACAAAGCAGTCAGGCTCAGGATGCTGTGGTTTGATCCCCAGATCCTCGTGCCTTACCAGACCTGCCCTAAAGGCATCCTGAGCCAGCCCCCCCCCAAAAAAAGCCTTTACATTTAATGCAAACCCTAATAAAATACCGATAACATCCTTCACAGAACTAGAAAAGACAATGTTAAAATTCATATGACATCTGAAGATCCAGACTAGCTAAAGAACTCCTAAGCAAAATGAACAAAGCTGGAGGCATCACTATACCTACTTCAAATTATACCACAAAGCTACAGTAACTAAAACAACATGGCACAGGCACAAAAGCAGACATGTACAGTAGACAAATGAAACAAAAGCACCTACAAACATATAATTCTTCACAAAATAGTCAAAAACATAGATTGGAGAGAAAGCCACTTTAACAAATGGCATTGGGAAACCTGGATATATACTCGCATAATATTAAAACTAGATCCCAATCAAAGACCTAGATATAAAAACAAAAACTTCAAAACTGTTAAAAAGTAACACAGAGGAAACACTTGTAGCCACAGGCCCAGGAAAATATTTCTTGAATAGAACTCTAATAAGATAGAAAATATCAAAAATCACTCAGTGGGATTTAATCAAATGAAAAAGTTTGTCCAAAGAAAAGAACAGAAAGAAGAGCAAATCTACAGAATGGGAGAAAATTTTTGCTGATTACAATTTTGATAGAGGATTAATATCTACAATACATAAAGAATAACCTCTCCCAAATGATCCTATCAAACTGCATAAATGAATTGAAAAGACACTTTTCAAAAGTAGTACATATGTAAAAAAATGTTGAACTTCTTTAGCTATCAGTGAAATTCAAATCAAAATACCTGGCATTCCATCTTACCCCAGTCAGAAAGGCAACCATCAAGAACACACAAAAACAATGAATGTCAATGGGAGAGAAAGCTACATTGTTGGTAGGTCTGTAAACTACTAGAACTTTACGAAAATCAGTGTGGAGATTGCAGGGGGAGGTGGACTAGAAATAAGACACCATTTTACCTAGCTATACCTTTCCTAGGTATGTTCTGAAAAGACATCATACTATAGTAATACATCCATATCCCTATGATAGAGGAGCAACTCACAACAGCTAAGCCCTGGAAACATCTGACCCTCAATA